GACTCTAAGACAAAGATGTGAAATCATTCTAGAAATGTAAACAGTTCCAGTATTCTGAGAGGCTGTCAGGCTTAGGTGGTTTACCTAAGCTTCAGAAGCAATAAAAATATTTGAATGTTAAGCCAACGTAGTCATTGATTTAATTATCAAGTTAGTCCATCATACATGCAAAGTGAGCTCAGCTGTTTCAAACAAAATAGGAAAGGTCATTACTTGCATATAGATTGAAGAGCAATGGTAAAGGAAACCTGGACTTCATATGATCTTGTACCAAATAAACACCAAATGATTAATCTGTGCTAGGAGTGTTCATAAAAGCCTAAAGACTTGCATACAGTAAATGTATCTACTGTGTTATAGTGAATAGTCATTAAAATGTTCTAGTAAATAATAAGGGAAAATTCAGAACCAGTAGATGTAACAGATACTGTATGGGAGATTCACACATACATGACTTTGACATAAGTAATTTGATCTGTTTCTACTTCAATTTTTCTATCAGGGATTGCAAATAAATAGACTAACCTCTCCTTTTAAAATTGCATGAAAAAGATAAAAAGCTAAATACAGGAGCTACAAAAGCTTTAATTAATGACTATAAGAAGCACCTAGTCATTTGGATATGCTGGTTTGCTTTTCATTAGTAAACAAGCTAATCTTGTCCAGGTTGTATTGCTATACTACAGATAACTACATCAGAAAATGAGGAATATATAGCCATTTACTGGACTAGTAGGAAACCTAGCATAAAAATAAGAAGAGGGTCAAAGAGAAGATTTATTTCAAAAGCTGATCGTGCCTGAAGGTGGCTTGGGACAGGGCTCTCAGTGTGCGCAGAGCTCATTGCCTCCTGGCGCTGAGCATCAGACAACCACACAGCTTCACTCCTTCCTGGGAGACAGTCTGTATGTCTTTTCCTGTTCAGGGTCTGTAAGGCAGAATAATTCAGAAGAAACTGCCATGCAGCAAAATGAAATGTTGGTAGTTTGTTTTCATACTTGGTACTCTGCATGCCAACCCTTCAGTTTTTAGTGGAAAAATGAAGCAACAAGAGGGAGATTTGGTTTAGCTTTCCCAGAAACAGCATCTCCGAGCAATAAAATTGTGTCACTGTATATATGCAACCAGCAAGATTCAAGCATTCCTTTCAGTTTGGTTGTAAACTGCTATAGGAGTGTTTGTGTTTGAGCCTCCCAGCCTTAAAGGACATGAGCTTTTCCCCGTATAAGGAGTATGAGCAGAAAAGGGGATTATAAAGCAGCTATTAAAACCTACTGAGCTAATTCGCTAAAAGGTTGTCAGTCTAGGGAGATTAAAGTTCTCATTGTCAGCACTATATTTGCACATATTCAGTTGGATTCTTAACATCATTCCGATTTTTCTCTTAACTGTAGAAAGTATATCCTTCTCTCACTGAAGTCCAGAAGCATCTTACAGTTGACAACTCAGCAGCAACACAGGATCCTGATGTCAACTGCAAAAAGCAATTTGAAGGCTGAGTGTTGCAGCAGTTACTTACGTGAGCTCCTTCATGAAATACACAGAGAAATCCTGGTAGGGATGTGGTTTAGAGATGTACAGCTGTCACTTACTGTGCAGTTACAGTTACATTTGGTTGGAGATAAATTGTTGTTATTCAAGAAATAGAGTCAAAGCCTAAATCTGTTCAAAAGCAGATTATCTGAGATTTTCCTGAAAAACCAGCAAGTTGTCCAGGACACATTTATGTGCCTTTGCTGCACAGTCAGATAGCAGCACAGCCAAGGTAAAAGCCATGAACGAAATCTTCCCCATCACCAACAGAGTCACAGGGGATTAAAATTCCTTGTGGAAGGAAGCACTGTTTGCACCACTGCCATCTTCCACCTAAGCCCCTGGAAGACGCATGGGAAACTCAGCAAGGAGTTGCATTGCTCTGAGTATATCAGGAGGCAAACTAGGAACAAGTCTGGGGGGACAGCTTCTGTCTAGGAAAAATAAAGATCACCTCTAACGAGGTATGGCAAAAGTATTACCCACCACCATGCAGGCTTTGGGAAGTGCTGCCAAGAGGGCTACAGTGTGTGGTAGCCTCTGGTCATGAAACTTCTTGGCCTGCCTCAGAACTGAGAAGAGCTTGGAGGGCAAAGCTAGCCTGGCTCTGCTGGAGAGCTGGCACATGGAGGCTACGCCACTAATTAATTTCCCAAACTGGACAAATCCTACCCCGAAGGAAAGTTTATAACGTTTCCTTTTCCCAGCACAATCCATTCCCACCCAGGGAACCATCTGGGTCTTTTTATACAACGCTATATATTGTGTAAAAAGTGCATGCTCTTCAGAATGGCTTTTTTAAGTTTGCGCTTTTACGTATGATAGAGAGGCTTTCATGAGCTGGCCATGAGCAGGACACATCCTTCCCCGTTTCATAATCCCATATGCCAGATGCAGTGCTTCTGTGGGTGAGCTCCCTCACACCTGGCGAGCCAAACGGCTCAGGTGGCTGCGAGAAGCCACCTCACGCTGCAGCCAGGCTGGCTCTGCCCCGCTGTCCAGCTCACACCATGCTTTATCATTGGACACCGGGACAGGGCACCGGGGCTGTGCCTCTGCACCTGTGTCTCTACACGGTGCGATCACCCCAGCCTTCATGTCACCACGGCCCCGAGCTCCAGCCCCAGGGCAGCCCCGGCCCGGGCAGTGCGGTGGGACCGCCTCTAGGTGGGGCAGCCCGGCCGCCGGCAGCGCCGGGCCGGCTCCGCCGGTGGGAAGCGGGAGGGAGAGGGGCAACGAGCCGGGGGGCTCCGGTGGGCGCGGGGAGAGGCACTTTTGGGGCACGGCGGGGTTTGGGCTTTCTCCGCTTCAGTATAACACATGACTGTGAAACGGCGGATCCCAGGCGGTATATTTCAGCTTTTGGCCGCTTCCAGGCGGCGAGAAACGGGAAATGCGGAGCCCCTGTTAGCGGTGGAAGCAAGATGGGAATCGTGCCCCCGCAGATATCCCCGGGTTAGGTGCTACCCTGCCTCTCGGCTGCCTACACAGCTGCCTCCTTGCGTCCCCTCGGAGCCTTTTTCAGCGAAGAGGGTTTGTGCCCGATTTCTCTCGCGCAGGGTCGGAGAGGACCCTGTACTCCCCGCACGCCGTGGCCGGGCAGCCCCTGCCCTCTGGTTGCTGCCCCGGCGGAGGGCGGCCCGGAGCCGGCTGCCAGCGCTCCTCCACCGAGGGGGCCAGCGTGGAGCAGCGCCGGGCCGCCACTCTCCCCCCATCCCTCCCTCCCTCCCGCTCCCCCGTCTCCTCCTCGGGGCTGGGGGCCGGGGGAGGCGGGACCACCCAGCTGGTCCCCGGCTGCCGCGGCCCCGGCCCGCCGGCCCTGCCCGGCCTCCCTCCGCCGATCCCCTGCGCCTTACCCCCGCTGCCGCTCGCTCTCCTCTCCTCCCGGCCTCTTCCCCAGGCATTTCCTCCCCCAAACAGCGATTTTCTGATCGGAAAGAGGGCGCAGAGATCGACCGGGAGGCGGGGGAGAAAAAAAAATTAAGAAAGAAAAAAAGAAAAGGAGGTGGTGGGGGAAGAGCTGAATAAATTAGCAAAGAGTTTCAGACGTTGTGAACTAACTGCAGGTATTTTCAACAGCTTGGGCAAGAAGCCTTGTAAATCAGGGTATTCGCGGGCTGCAAACTGCCTGTGCCGGAGCTCGAAGCTTGGCTGCACCGGGAGAGCGCCTCGTCCTCCTCCCCGCCGCTCCCTGGCCCCCGCAGCCGCCAGTTCTGCCTCCTGCTCGGCGCTCTGCCGCACCTGAACACAGCCCGAAAAACGACATGCACGACGGGATGCTGTCGCGGCCAGCCCTGCCCGGAGCTCCCCGGCTCTGCCGTGCCCCGAGCTCCTCTCCAGCCGTCAACCCAAACCACGGGTGCCGCGACCCGCACCTCCAGCCTCTCCCCTTGGAAGCCCTTCCTCTGTCCCCACGTCTGCGGCCACACATCTCTTCTGACACCCCAAATTTCATCTCTTGGCTGTTAAGCACCCCTTAAAATGCCCGTACAGGGCACCCTTCTTACTACCCTACGCATCTTCTCGTAAGCGGATTTCTCGCAGCTTCCCTAGATGCCCCTTGTTTTCCTCCAGCCCTTAAAAAAATCCCCTTTGGATATTTTCTGAGTGTATCATGACACGAAATTTTGGGTGTCAAAGCGACTGCTTTCTTGGGAAATACGTAGGTAAAAAAGGATAATGAGAGAGACCAAACAAAGTTATTAAAACAGTCAGAATTTGTTTAGGAGGATAAAGCCTGTTCTGGCTCAGTCCCGCAAAGGGGCTTTCCGGCTTCGTGCCGTGTATGAAAGAGGGGTTATTTATTTTATTAATTTATTTTTTGGGTAAGAATTATGATTGAAAACGTTTAATTAGTGCCAGAGTCGTTGATAATCAATTATCGTCGCTTCTTAGTCTACTGCAAACAGACGCTCATCTCTGCGGCATTAAGTAGGGAGGTGGTGGCGGTGGCCACACGCCTGTGTAGAAGCCCAGTGACACCCTGGGAATTTGGCTCATGAAGCAAAGCCTAATTTTCGGGAATCTCTTTTATATGCTCTAGCTCCTTACGTGGCCGCGTTCTCCCAGCACCAAAACCCCACGTTCGCGAAGCGCAGGCGTTTTATTTCTCGTGTACCTGCTTGATAACCTTTGCCGGTATTTTTCTGTTAGTTCCGAGAATGCCAATAATATTTGAAATAAAGAAAAGCGTGATGCTTGGGGGCATAGTGTTGTTTTGGCAATGAGTCGCATACATACAATTTCACATGCGTGTAATAGTTTCGAAAAGCTTCTTGTGTAGGGCCGTTTTCTTTCAGGGAAAGGAGTCTTTATTCTGAGAGAAATTGTGTTTCTAATACGGGTTTTAAAAGCCTCATGGATAGAAGACCGTCCCTAATATAAACCCGACCATGTTTTTAAATAAACGCAATGGTGAAAAGCCCATTTTCCAAAACCGGCCGAGGCTATTTTGCGTTCACCCCGATATGGCGAGCGGCCGGGGCTTGGGCGCTCTCCCCGCAGCGCGCAGAGCCCCACACCGGCCCGGCGCCGTGGCCCCCGGTAGATCCCAAAAGAGTGGGTTCCTGAGGCTCTTGCTCAGCAGGACGCAGCAATGCCCGCAAGCCCGCGGCGTCGGTCGCGTCCCCGCGACGTTTCCCACTGGGATCGGACCCTTCCCCGTCGCTGGGCTTCAGCGCTCCCTGCCCGGTTCGGCCGAGGCGCGGCGAGAGGGGAATACGCTGGAACTGTGCTCCCACACAGTTCCATTCCTCTAGGTGTGGAACTAGGTGGAGGCCGCCGCTCTTTGCCCGGGAGCGGGTCGGTCCCGCCGACGCCCGCCCGGGCCGGGCCGCCCCGCGGGCCCAAAGGGGTTAAGGGGCGGCGCGCGCCCCGCGGAGCCGCATCGCCGCGCGGCGGGGAGCCAATGGGCGGGCGGGCCGCGCGGG